TCCCCTTTCCTGTTCCGTGACTAGTACCCAGTTATACATACGGGCAAGGAAAGGCACTACGAGAGTACGAACACAATGCAATGATCCCCAATAGGGGTCCATTGCACCAACCACTGGGCCATATCGTACCTACTCCTCCTTAGGGTTAGAGTGGAGTTTACCCTAACATGACAGTTATAGGTCTAATAACCTTCTACAGGGGCAGTTTGAGTGCGTAGAAACCTTTTTAACATTGCGTAACCGATAGGCGACTTTTAAAAAGCCTCCATGCAGTGTTGACCGCAACCGCAAGTTTTCCGAGCGTTTTTTATTTTCAGCTCCTGCAATATTCAAGGCAACGTCCAAGCTTTTCGGCTTACAGGGCCGCTCTGATGACAAAAACTGACTTGACGTTTCCAGCATTTTTTTTTGAGATTTCATTCCACGAGAAGCGACTTTCGAGTCAAGTTTGACAGTGGCATGATTATCGTGGACCAATCACAATTCTTTGCTACGCATAGCAACCAATGAGATTGCTCTCATTTTGTATAGACACTAGATTACGTCGAATGGCCTTTTCGTGTTTGCCAAAGTGGGCAAAGGCCGGTAAAAACCGGCTTTCAAGTTATGTTGAAAGATTTTGAAATAAAAATGCTTTTTCTGTAGTAACTTGTTTCTTTATCGTATAAAACAAATAGATTCCATGTTGCGGTGCGTCTGTTCAGTAATAGATCACAGAAGACGTCAAAATGTGGTAAGAACATCAACGACACACTTGCCTAGCTATCTCCTCATGTGCCACTTTTTTGTTCTTACCACATTTTTACGAAATCTGTGATCTATTACTGAACAGACGCATGGCAACATGGAGTCTATTTGTTAAATTGACACCATGCTTAGCGTTCCAACTGGTTCATTGTAGAGGGAAGAGGAACAGGAGGATAAATCTCCCTTCTCCCTACTTTTTGAGCCAATTTTTCCCTCCTCCCTACTTTAAATATTCCTTAAAATTATTTCCCCATCCAGCTCCTTCCAGTTCCCCCACCACCCAGCATTTTCCTTTTATTCTTCCTCCCTACTTTTTTCCCCTATTTCTCCCTCCTCCCTACTTTTTTCCCCTGTTTCTCTCTCCTCCCTACTTTTTTGGGGCCATTTCTTTCTCTTCCCTATTCTGCTCCTCTCCTCTCGTTATAATTGTATAGAAAAATAATCAGAGCACGTACTGACTCCTAAAATAGGTGAAATCATGAACTAGCTAGTAGCTAAGTAGTCCTATATAACAAGGTGAGCACAGCTTCGGTCTAAGCGATTATAAGCATAAACAACATTGTGTACCTGCAGAGGGTGCTTCTGAAGTGAGCTTTGATTCTGCAGTGGGTCCTTTGACTGCAAAATGAAGTAAGGTATACAGTCAGAATGAAATAGATAATTAGGGTTTTATTCTTTTTCCTGTAACTTGATCATCAAACGGGATGTACCAAAGTCACGTAGGGTAGAACCTGACTGGAAGTGGCTTTTTGGACGATCAAGGAGTCAGCACAACAGACGTATAAAAGGGCTTATATTTCTTCATAAGGGGTTTTGGGTAGTCTTATAAACGGAAGAGAGGCTTATTTCCGGTGGGCATATAAGCGGAACAAGAAAACGTTTCAGAACGACGAGATAAAACGTATCCGAGCAACTGACAAATTAAAGCTAACAATTGAGAATTAAAACCTGTAGAATGTGTTTGTGGTGAAGCTGTCGATTCTCCCGGTGGACCATCAACTGTAAAATAAGGTAAACAAAAGGTAAGTAATACAACGATGCCAATTGCGACTAACATAAACGTCTTTTACTAAAAGGGTCACGACGTCAGAGGTAACCGCAAAGCAATTATTCAATCTTGATTTTAGGCTTCCATTAACTATAGGTTTTCTCGTCTTCCGACCGGGAAGATCCTACTTGCCCAATAGGCTAACTACACGGTCTGAGAGTAACCATCAGTAAACACAAACAGAGATAAAAACCGTAAAAGGAACTCTTTAAGACATTTTACTTCAAGATTAAAATACCTACCTCTAACGGTCAGTTGAATGTCGAACTTTGTAACATCAGCAAAGTTTCCCGCCGTGCAGGTATAAATACCAGCTTCCTGCGTGGTGGCATGGTGACGCAGTAAATACTTTGGCCCGTTGGTTTTGTTTTGAAGCACTTGGCCTTTCCGAATCCAAGCTACCCATGGAGGAGGATAGCCTCTCACTTCACAGAACATGACAAAAGGCATGCTCTCAAACACCACATACTCCTTACGATTGTTTGATGCAATGACGGGCTCTAATAATCAAATAAAGACAAAAAGAGAAGTTTCATTTTTCAGCTCTTTACTACGTTCAAAGAATTCTTTATGTTCATCCAAAGACTATAGAGCTTTTGGTTTTAGTTTTCTATTATCATATTTCAGCTTCCCTTAACAACTTGTGGTGTAGGGGAAGAGAAACTCACCCATAACCAGTTACCATACAGTATATACCTGTGAAGCTTTAATTTCAGACAGAAAAATCCCTCTAGATCAAGGCAGCTATTTTTAAAGTCATGACTTTCTTTCAATAACCCTCCCCCCTAAGGTCCACCTTCCCCACTTCCCCACCACAGAGGTGAGTCCGATCCAACATAAAGTTTGTTTGCCTAGCTTTTCATTGAATTTTACAGTAATATTATCTAAAGCAGCCCTTCGAGCTCATGGATTTTGACTTGGTTCCAGCTACTTTAAATAGTACATGCTTGACTAAATAAAACCAATGAAAATCAATGAAAATCAGTGAAAATTCATTTTCCCTTGAAAATATTTTAGTATAATTGAAAATATTGGAAAGGACATGTCTACTCCTATTGAATAAACATTGCAACAAGCCCATCTGCCTTACAGGCGTTCAAGAGATATTTTTTTAATGCTTCCATCAATGAACTTAGTATAGTTACCTTGGGCGACACGAATAATTGTAGACCTGTGGTCCTGACGAACAAACCGTTCCTTGTGAAAGCATCTGACCCAGTTGTCGTCATCATCAAGCTGAATATCTTTCAATATCAGCGAACCATTGGGCTCTAGGCCAAATTTCGTTTGATTGAATATTTGGATTTTACCGTAGTCTACTTTGACGACCATTTCCCAGTCTGCTGTTGGAGAGCGGCAATCAGACTGGCACAAATACCAAGCAAAAAACATGAGCTGGTAGTCCATGCTGCATTGTATTGTAAGGTTTTCACCGATTTTGGCGGTGACCTCGGACGGAACATCGTCTTCCGTCGCGTCATTCACATTTGCGAACTTCGCTGAAAAAGAAAACAAAAAAATTACGATGTCATTACAACACTTTTGTCTTGTGCATGTAGCTGTGAAAATTTATAAAATGATTGGATGTTATTGTGCTTTCTTCTAGGCAATATCTGACTTCAGGCATGGAAAAGCTTTTTTTTAAAAAAAAAAAAAAATATATATATATATAGGCAATTGTGGAAAACGAGGACGGACAACTTCGAGCGAAAAAAATATATATATACAGTAAAAAATCTAAGAAATCTAAAAAA